CTCCGTGGGCGCTCCCTGCCTTCCATCACGGCCCGGCCGGTGCTCATTGGGAGCCCGGGATGCAGCTCCAGGATGCCGGGAGAGCCAGGGACAGCAGCGCAATGCTCGGAGCACGCAGGGAGAGGCATGCGGAGCCGTCCCTTGTGAGCAGGGCCACCGTGCTCTGCACGGAGGCTGCACCCACCTCCATTCTGGAGCCTCCTTTCAGAGCGAGCCCTGGTGCGGGGCGGGAGGTGACAACGGGGCCACAGCGATTGCAGCTGGGCTGCAGCTCAGCCCACGGGCTGCAAATTGGGGTCAGGTGTGAGCAGCTCTGCTCCCTAAATGGGGGCTCGAGGGCAGGGGCTGGGCAGGAGGCAGGTTTTGCAGGTGCTTGTGGTGCTCCCTAGGGAGTGAGGCTGCAGGGACTGTGCGGTCCCTCTGTGCCAGGGCTCAGCTGCACTTGTAGAGGTGGCCACGATGCAGGAGCTGGTGGCCGGCGTGGAGAAGATCAGGTTTGACTTGGAAGCAGATGTGGAGGAGCAGAGAGGAGCCCGGCTCCTGCCCTTCCCGGGTATGGACAGTAAGTTGGGGACAGGGCCTGTGCCTTCCGTCACCATCCTGGTGGCTGGCGTGGGCAGAGTGGGGTGCGTGGAGGCGCTGGGGCTCCCTGCCCTGTCCCCGGGGCTGTTGGTGACGCTCCCCCTGCCCTGCTCTCGCCTGCAGAGCTGGGGGCGGCCGCCTGCGAGTTCTTCCGCCGCGGGCTCTGCTCCAAGGGTGAGTGCTGGGAGCTGTGGGGGACCCTGGGGGGCCCTTTCCATCCCAGGACTTGCTGGCATCCATGAGCGCTTGCCCAGTGTGCCCAGAATAGCGGGATTGACCCAAAGGGCTCAAGTTGCCCAGATATCTCCCCTGGTGCCTGTGTCCCTGGGCATCAGCACTGTGACCTGCCCTGCAGTGGGATGGGGCTGGGAGGACTCTGAGGGATGTGGTCAAGCTGACCCAAGGTGGGTAGCACCTGGAGACTGCAGGGAGCTGGGTACTCTGGTGTGAGTGTTTTGGGACCCGGCCCCGTGCACATGCTGGGGACTGCAGTGGAGCGCGTGGCCGCAGTGGGAAGCGGCACTGGGGCAGGAGCCGGCTGTGACACCGGGACCGTGCGGTGGCCAGGCCTGCTGTGCCCCTTCCGGCACGTCAGCGGCGACAAGACGGTGGTCTGCAAGCACTGGCTGCGTGGGCTGTGCAAGAGGGGCGACCAGTGCGACTTCCTGCACGAGTACGACGTCACCAAGATGCCCGTGTGCTACTTCTACTCCAAATTCGGTACGTTTGGCAGTGGGGCCGGGGACCCCAGCACAAGGACCCCAGCCATGCCCCTGGGAGCTGGCTTCAAGTCATTGCCTGATTTGCCTGATGCCATCTCCTGTTTGTGGGAAGAAATGCCACAGGCATCTGCCCTGGTCCCTGTTTCCCTGGCCAAGCCTGGAAATGAGTCTGCCCTTCCCAGGGCAATGGGGCCAGGCCCTGCTCAGGCACTCCCTAATGGAGAGCAGCAGCACCTTGGTCCCAAAGATGGGTGAAAACTGAGGGCTTTTGGCTGGTTTGACCTGGGTGAGTGCTGTCCTGAGCCTGTCGCTCCTGCAGGCGAGTGCAGCAATAAGGATTGTCCCTTCCTGCACATCGATGCGACAACTCACGACACCGGCTGTCCCTGGTACGACCGCGGCTTCTGCAAGCACGGTGAGCGCCCGCACGCTCCCAGCCGGCGAGGGCCCAAAGAGCCGGGGGAAACGGGGCTGCCGAGGAAAGCCGGGCTCCCGGCACCCCGGGAGGGAGCGGAGCCCGGAGGCGGCGGCACCGGGGCTGGCTAACGGGCACCTCTCCCGCGTGCAGGGCCCCTGTGCAAGTACAAGCACACGCGGCGGGTGCTGTGCACCAACTACCTCGTCGGCTTCTGCCCGGAGGGACCTCGATGCAAATTCATGCAGTACGTACGGTGCAGGGGGAGTCGGGCACGTGTCCCCCTGGGAACCGTCCCCTCTCTGCAGCCCGAGCCTCGTGCAAGGTCCCGGGTTCTCATCTAGACCCACTGCCCTGCTCTTGGCTCCCTTCTTCCCCCAGGAGCTGGTGCCCCAGGGTTGGAGCTGAGTGGGCAGGGGGTGTCCCAGACCCAGCGGGAGGCCCTTGCATGGGTGTTTGCAGCCCTAGGACCATCCTGTGGGCACACTGGGGGTATTTTGGATGGATATTGTCACCATATCCCAGGGAGTAACCACCTGTCCTCTGTGTCCCCCTCTAGCCTCAAGGCTGGGCTGATGGGCAGCATGGAGCAGAGCAAGGTGACTCCCGTCCCCTTTAAGCCAAAACTCCTCTGTGCCCTCTGAGATGTTTGGAGGCTGGGGGAGGGCACTAGCCGGTGCCAGAGCCCTCGCGGACCCGCAGCCAGTGGCCACCAGCATTAACCAGCCCCTGGCCAGCGGCAGTGTCCCTGGCCCACAGTGCCCACCTGAGCCCGTCACCTGCTTCAAGGTGAGTGTTGTGGGGACACAGGGACCTGCTGTGGTGGCTCCTGCCTTGGCGGGAGCCCTCTGAGCGGCAGCCCAAGGTGGGAGGACTTGGCTAAGGAGCACTTCAGTTGAGACTTGTCTTCTCCCTGTGTTGTGTGGGCTCCTTCCTGGGTGGGTAATGAGCCCCTTTTTGGATGTGTTTTGGAGCTCCCTCCTTGGGCTGTGAATTGGCAGGGGAGAATGTGGTGCTTGGGCCAAGATGCCGTCGCTGTGAGCAATGCGGAGGGCTGACGGGTTTGGTGGCAGACCCTCGGCACGAGCCCCTGGCATCCCTCTGGAGCAGGGATTTGCTGCAGGAGAGGGTTTTTGGGCTGTCTCTTGAACCTACAAGCTGTGCCAAGTGAGGCATTGCCCCACCATCCCTGAAATGATGGGAAAAGAATGCGATCAAAAATGGACAGGGTTTATCTAACGCAACTGATGTCTTTTCCTGTTCCTCCTGTTCCCTGCTTCCAGTGTGGCCAGAAGGGTCACTACACCAACAAGTGTGGGAAGAGTCACCTGGAAATCCTGCTGGAGAAGTGATTTGAATGTTCCTGCGAGAAAGCTGGAAAGAAGATGCACCAAGTGTGGTGGAGCCAAGGAGAAGGCAACCGGGAGGGCGCTTTGACTAGCCAAGCCGGTTGCTTTTGCTTGGTGTCGGCTCTCGCCCTTCGTGCAAGCACCAGAGGAGAAATCGCGCTCCCTTAATGCAACTAAAACCGGACTTGTCACCGCGTGCGCAGGGTCACTGCAGCTGCCCTGCTGCTCAGCTGGCTCGCGCTGCAGCCTGGGGCAGCAGGGAGCTGCGATTATGCACTTATTAAACCACAGTTCTAAGGGGTGTGAGAACAGCCTGTGCCAGGGTCCTGGGAAAGCGAAGGTGTGCTGTGATCCCGGAGGAACGCTGTGTGTGAGCAGGGCGCGCGGAAACGAGGGGAAAAGGAGAATTCACGGGAGCTTTATTGCTAGCAAGGGGGAGTCCTTGATGAAACACCTCTGACACAAATACTGCTGCACCTCACTGAGAATAAAGAGCTTAGATTTGTTTTTTTCCTGTTGTCTGAGGTTTTTTAACCTGCTGTGCCTGTAACCTCACCATCCTTTTTCTAGATAGAAGTGATGACAGTGGCTAAACCCAGCAGGCTCCCAACTGCCCTTGATTGTCCGATGCAGATGTTGGTCTGCCCTGTGGGCACTACAGCTAATCCAATGGATTTTCTTCCTGTAGAAATAGGGCGCTGTGGATGCGGCTGCTGCTCTAATGCCTTTGCAGAGGCTCTTCCCGGAGCTCCTCTGGGATCCACGTCTGTGCAACCCGGATGGCAAAGCTGGGGATGGGATGGCTCTGCTGAGGGGACTGCCCTTCTCTGGGGATGAACTGGTAACAACAGCACAGCCCACCTAACTTGGAGACCGGAGATGTTCTTTTGCTTTAATTGCTCGTCCCTATGATCAATTACCAACCTTGCTAGTGAACACTTGCAATAAAACATAAGTGTGGATTTAATGTACAGCAATAGGCCAGGTTATTGAGCTGTTCTGTCCCACAATACCCACCAAGAGACTCAGACCACAGGATTTCTTCCCCCCCTAGCCCTCCAAGGGGCTGCTCTACTCTTTTCCTCTCGCTGCTCAGGTACAAAGCACTGATTCCCAAACTGGTGAATGCAGCCTGTTCCTGTCAGCGTCACCCTTCTATCTGGGGGAGGATAATTGAAAAGCCTTCCCTCCAGCACCAGAGATTTAACAGCTTGTCTCTGATGGAAAATGGGCTTCATCTCAAGTCCCTGCTGGGATGCCAGCCCTGCACCCCAGCGCTGAATCCCAGTCAAGTCTTTGCAACTGTTCCCCGGGCGCCGTTCCAGCTTCTTCAGTGCCAGCAATTACACTCTAGCAAAACAACAGAAAAAGAAGTGGCATCAGCGCTGGCACGGAGCGACGTGCAGGGCTAATGTGACAAGGAGCTGGCGCCTGCCCGCAGCCCTCTCTGCAGACACGCTCTCTATGCAAGCGCAAGTCCTGCTGCAGGTACGACATGAGCACGGGAAATCCTGGCGGAGTCAGGAATAAACCCCGGGAAGGGGCTATGCCCAGGCAGGACCGTCGCCTCCCTGCGCTTTGCACGGCATTCGGGAGAGCTCCGGAGTGTCCCGGCTCCTCTCCGCATACAGGATTAGGAGCTGGAAACGCAGCGACTGCCACCGGCACCTTTATTAATTAAACCCTTCTCTTAGCTAAGCAGCTCAGCTTAGCCAGTCCCTAAGCAATAGCTAAGTAACAACGGCCCGTTCCCTGCCAGGGAACGTTTCATTCGGCCACGAAGCGTTCAGACGTTTCCAGGGAATTCGCGAAAAGCGCAGCCAGCCCTTTTTCCACACGGTGAAAAAGACGGAATGGCCAAAAATAAAGCAAATAAGCAGGAAACCCCGTTTACGCGCTGGCAGCGCCAGCCATAGCGGAGGACGCGG